AAAAATCAGTCATAAAAATGTGTGCCTTCTAATTTGATTGTTTAAACCTTTTATTATAAATATAATTATCAATATGATTGGGTTTGTGTCTACTGTCTTGCTATTTATTTTCTTTGTCTTTTTTTCTCTTGGATTAATTATGTGCCTTTTGTAAGTCTTCCTTCCACTATTGGCTGGTTAGGTTTAACTCTGTTCTTTGTTTTTCTTTTTTCTTAAAAGTTGCTCCAGTTCAGTGGTTCAAAATCTTTTGGTCTCAGGACCCCTTCATACACAAAAGATCTCACATTGAGGACCTCAAAGAGCTTCAGTTTATGTGGATTACATCTTTTGATATTTATTATATTAGAAATGAACATTGAAAAATTAAAAATATTAGGTCTTTTAAAAATAACCATAACAACCTATTTTATAGTAACATAAATAACATGTTTTATAAAATGACGTTTTTTCAAACTGAAATAGTTTAGTGAGAAGAGTGGCATTACTTTGTATTTTGGGGGAAGTTCTTTAATTTCTTAGTAGCAGAGTTCTCATTTCTACTTCTGTGTTCAGTTTGTTGTGATAACATATGTCATGTCACCTCTGGAAAACTCCGTTGTAAGTTTGTGAGAGAATGAGTGAAAAGGCAGATAGCATCTGAGTATTTACTATGAGAATAATCTGACCCTGTCACCCTGAGAAGGCTTTGGGCAAGCCCATGGGTTCCTGGATCACATCTTGAGAGCTTCTGCCACAAAGCCTACACTACACATTTTTAACTTACTGCAGTATATGTTTAAATAACATTATTCCATAGGACCCTTACAATAATACATTTCCATTTCAACCCCCATCATTTATCATTTGTGCTATTATAACCATATAATTTACTTCTATTTTTACTACAAACCCCACAATAAATTTTTATTATTTTTATTTTAAACAATCGTCTTGTAAAGAAATTTAGAAAATAATTTTTTTATATTAGCATGCATATTTACCATTTCTGACACTTCATTTCTTTGGGAAGATCCAAGTCTCCATCTGGCATGATTCCTTTCTGCCTGAAGAATTTCCTTTAACGATTCTTTCAGTGCAGGTCTGCTGCTGCATTCTCTTGGCTTTTGTTTTTATGAAAAAATTTTTTTCATCTTCTTCTTTGTAAAGATATTTTCACTGTATATGGAATTCCAGGATTATGCTTTTTCCCAGCCCTTTAAAGATGGTCAATTGTCTTCTGTCTGGCATAGTTTCTGATAAAAATTCCACTCTAATTCTTATCTTTGGTCATGTCTATGTAATATGTATTTTTTCTCTGAATTTAAGTTTTCCCTCTTTGTTGATGATTTTCAGCAATTTGATTAGATGAGGCTTGAGGTGGTGGAGTTGGTGGTGGTGGTGGTGGTGGTGGAGTTGGTGGTGGAGGTGATGGTGGTGGTGGAGGTGCTGGTGGTGGCAGTGGTGATGGTGGAGGTGGTGGGGCTGGTGGTGGAGGTGGTGGTGGTAGAGGTGATGGTGGTGGTGGAGGTGGGGGTGGGGGTGGTAGTGTGTGTGTGCACATAGGGGTGTGTGTTTATCCTCTTGGAGTGTGGGGAGCTTCTTAGACCTAGGTATTTATAGTTTTTATCGCATTTGGCTATTATTTCCTCAAACATTTTTGTCTCCCTTTCCTCTTGTTATGACACACCAAGTTCATTAGACCACTTGTCATTATAACTAGGTTACTGAGGCTCTTCTCATTCCTTTTTCCTGTAAAAAAATGCCCATGCTTTGGTGTGGTAGAGTTGAGTTCACTAATCTCTGCTTCATCAGTGTTTAATCTGCTGTAATTCCATTTAATGAAATTTTGCAGGCATATACTGTGTAAGTTTTGTTCCTAAAGTTCCATTTGTTTTTTTTATATTTCCCATATCTCTCTTCATTATGTTTTTATTTTCTTTTAAATATGGGTGCATAGTTTGCTTGTGGCATCACCTCTTTGCAGGGGTAGACCTGTCTCTATTGACTGATTTTTCTACTAACTATGGGTCACATTTTTCTGCTTCTTGGCATATCTGGTAGTTTTTGGTTGAATTCTAGACATTTTGACATTATATATTTGAATGCCTCAAGTTTGTCAGACAATTAAATTACTTGTGGATTAGTTTGATTTTTCTGAGACCTCTTTGCAAGCTTTGCTAGAATAAGTTTTCAGTACTTTTATTCTAGAAATAGGTCAACCCCATCACTAGTTTGTGATCCCTGTGGGCTCTCCATGGAATGCCCTGGGTGATCAACAGCTCTCCACTATGACTGGCCTGAGGTCCAAATGTCTGTCCACCCTCTGTGAAGTCTACAAGTGGTTCAGCTAACAAGCTTGCCATCATTCTTTGCCATGCTGTGTGGGATGTCCTTTGATGTATGTGCAGCCTATTACTCTGCAAAGACTCAAGGGGACCCCATACAGGTTTCTGGAGCTCTTTTTTCTTTATAGCTTGCTTTATTACAGAATCCTGCTTCACACTTGTAGCTGCCTCAGCCTTCCCAAATTCTGATCTCCTTCTCAACCTGCAGATGTTTCCAGGCTCTGTTGGTTTCTGTCTGTTTTTCCTGCACTCTGGAACATGTTTCCAGGCACCTTACTTATTTCTCTTCACTCAGGAATCAAAGTCCTGTGATATCTATTGTCTTGTGACACCTAAATGAAAAGGTGTTTCATATATTTTGACCAGTTTTTTACATTAAGAGGCTAAGTCCAGATTTTATTACTGTATCATGGTTGCAGACTATTTTGAGTTTTTAAGTATTTCTTAGGCTGTTACATTCTCAGGTTCCTTGGCCAATAATGACTGAAGATACCAGACATTGCCATGCTATTTTCTTTTATTCAGTCTCCTGAGTGACTAATAAGAAGGCTGACTGGAGCCAGAACTTGATCTGTGTCTGTGGAATATTGTGTCTTCATGTGGAGGAGCTCGATTTCTGTGATCTTTACACAACTGAACTTTGTGCTTCAGATTCCAGGTTCTAAACTATATCCCATCCCTAATTAAAAATAATATATCCATGGGTGCTTTTGTAAATGATGTTGATTTTCCCAATGCATACATTTCCCCTGGCTTGTGATCTTTTGCATTCACACATCATGGCTTGGAGCAGATGACTCACGGTTCAATATTTGACAAACATGGGTTGAGATGTTTCAAGATTTCAGCATAATCGGTGTTGGGGAAACATAGATGGTAATTATACACTTGGAATTCCTTGGATCGTAATCACTTGTTTGAAAGACCAAGTGAGCCATTAGATTTCAGATCCTTTATTGTCAATAATTAATAGAAGTAAGAATAGGCCAACTCCATTTGAAACGTCTTGCTGAAAGAAAACTGACTGGATATTTCTAGATTGGTTTGGGGAAGGGGTTAGAACTGAAGGTAGCTATGACAACTCTAAGGTCTCCAGTTACTTTGAATTTGCTTTCTCCAAAAGTGATGTTTAAGTGTCAGACTGAGGTGAAAAACTGTGAATGGTTATTAGGTTTCTTTTTCATCATTGTACTTTAAGCTTGGCCAGCATAAGGTGTCTGGAGGATAAGGGAGGGAAGAATCAGGAAAGTGTCAGGGAGTTAGGGCTGTGTGGTACACCACCAGGGGCAGTGGATGGCTGTTTCATCACATGTGGTCCAAATGGATTTTGATTTGACCACAAGTCAGATTTACAAATAGATTATTTTGTGGCTTGGGTATTAAAGGCCTGAAGACATAACTATTTAAATAATTATTGAATGATTTTCTTTTTCTGAGAAGGCTAGAGAATTGGATCAGATTTTTCCTTTTCAGTAAATGTGTCCATAGATGTTAACCCCCAAATAGAATTATGTTTATATAATGAGAAGCATGTCATAGTATGGTATCCTTGGTTTTCTGGATTAATAATGACCAAAAGTTTCAGATATTAGAATATTTTTCAGCTGGTAAAAAGGATAAAGTGAATATGTATGTTCTAATAGGGGGAGAGGTCCAAAATATATATTTTAAAAATGTGTATTCTAGAATGATACATGTAATGATTAAAAGAATCCCATTTTTTGTATCACAAAGTTCTGTGCATATATATAAATGGAATATAGGTAGATGCATATAGCTTTAAAAATAATACATATGTTGGTAAATGAATAGGAAAAATCTGGAAAGGTAAACTACTAAACTACTAATGAGCTATTTAGAGTCTCCTTCTGAGAAATTCACTTTTTGGTGGGGATGAATGTTTACCTTTAGCTTTATATACTCCTCTGTATTAGTTTAAAAAGCTAACATTTTTTTGAGCATGTACCATGTGCCCAGGACTGTGCTAAGTATTCCACATACTGACCATTGTCTTACTCAGTCCCCACAACCCTAGAGTCTTTCTGTTGGAGGTGCCTAGAGGTGGCAAGCTGCTGGTAAAGGGAGCTGAGTATTTCCCTTGAGCTGTGTCTGCATGCCAGCCATGCTATTGTTACCTGGATTGTGTGTGTTTTTAGGATGACTTGGTGGGGGGGATGCTGCCAAGCAAACCCTTGCTGCTAATACCTCCCATAATATTCCAAATAAGTAATATTATTATTATTATTATATTCCTATTATTAGAAGATGAGGAAATAGGCACAGAGAGGTTAAGTAGTTTGTCCAAAGTCTCACAGCTAGTAAATAGCACAGCCAAGGTTTGAATCCCTAGCTATTAAAATACATACTTCTGGGCCTTAATTTGAATTTATTATAAGACAATAATACTTCTCAGAAAGTAAAATATATTTCAGAAATGTTTATAGCCAATTTAAGAAATATGTAATTTTAAGACAATCTAGAGACACAGCCATGAACTTTTTTTTTTGTAATTTACTATCAGTGGAAAAGGTGGATACAGAATTAGAACAAATATCTAATGTGTCAGGGGGCACTGCTAATGCTAAGTCAGATGTGGCCTTTTATTTGTAAATTTTCATCAAAGATCAATTTATGTGACTGTCTATTTTCACATTTTTTCTTTTCCCTTTTGAACAGGAGAGATTTACAGATAGTGTTTGAGAGTCATGGAGCTTTTAGGTTCTACTTTAACGGCAACCTATGCCCACCCTAGACCAACACCAACCAGCTTTCTACCAGCCATCAGTGCCATGGCATCAAGCTACAGAGACCGCTTCCCACACTACAATTTGACCCACAGCCCGAGCCTGCCTTGGAGACCAAGCACATACTACAAAGTGGCTTCCGACTCGCCGACCTTGGCACCCTACTGCACCAGATCTCAGAAGGTGTCCGAAAGTACCATGCTCCCCTTTGTTTCCAACAGAAACACGCTCTTCACAAGGTATACGCCTGATGATTGGTACAAGGCCAATTTAACTAACTACCTAGAATCCAACACTTCCCGACATAATTCAGAGAGACTAAGGGTAGATACGTCTCGTCTCATTCAAGACAAATATCAACAGTCAAGAAAAACCCAGGCAGACTCCACCCAAGATCTGGGAGAACGAGTGAATGACATAGGATTTTGGAAATCTGAAATCATTCATGAGTTGGATGCAATGATTGGAGAGACAAATGAACTAACTGATGTCAAGAAAAAGCTGGAGAGGGCTTTGATGGAGACAGAAGCCCCTCTTCAGGTAAACATAAGACCTTACGATAAAAGACACTGTGCTTTTATGATTATAACCCACTGGTTGAATTGCTGAGGTTATGTGTCTGCTGAATAATGTTTCACTTCACCTGTGGAAGCCACCTGGCTGTCAATAAACTTGTAACTGTTTCTGTAATGTGAGAGCCATTGCCATTTTTACACATTATACAGAATTACCATTTAAGTAGAAAGAATTCTGGATGCAAAGCAAAGGAGGCTAATGTAAGAGACATCCTTAGGACATACTATGTTTTATGGTGAAAATACCATCTTCCCATGTTTTAAACAGGCTGCTTGGTCATTTCTGTCCTTGGGTTAATGTAAACAATATTTGAGGAAAAGAAACCGTCTTCTTTTAGTCTGTGTTATGAAATGCCTCCTGTGCATATGTTATGATTCCATCCCAGGGCACAGTAAAATGATCAAATGACACCATCTTAGGAAGTGGAATGAATTTGATTAAATGGAGAAAGGGGACCTAGGTTAAACCAGTCATGGTGGCCGTGGTGGGAGCATTTCAGTTTGTCGCTGGCCTCTAACCAGGCTTCTGAGTGGGCTCAGGTTGCCTCTAACTCTCTGAGTGTATTGGGGGCACACCAACCCCATCCTAGCCACCGCCACCACTGAAATAAGGATTCCTGTTTTTGAAGAGGTGCAATATAGAAATTATTTCAGAAAGTGTATATATTTTAGTGAACAAAGCCAATACCATTTTTCTTCATGTTACTTCACAGGCCTTATTTCCCATGTGCTAAACATTTGCAGTAGGTCTTTATTATGACATCTGTGGCAGAAGAATTTAGAGAATCAAGGAGCTAGAAGCCTTGTGGGTTGATGAGTTTGTTGGAAACCCCTGCACATGGTTGCTTCTTACTTGTGCCCCCTTGCCACTAAACACAACCATGGGAAATCCTGAAGAAGGTAAATTGTGCATTCATGTCCTTTGAAATGAACTCATCATGAGTTATTTTTGGAGGTCCGAAACTTTTCCATACTTTCTCCACACTTGGGCTCATTTTGAGGATCCCTGGTTTATTATGTATCTCATCACCCCCTAGCCCCCCATACACTTACTTTAAAGTATCCTTAAAATGACAGCCACTTGCCTTTTGAATTTCCAGAGGAGATTCAGTTTCCCTACTAGTGTTTCCATTGTGCATTGTAGGTTGCCCGAGAATGTCTGTTTCATCGAGAGAAAAGAGTGGGGATTGATCTTGTTCACGATGAAGTGGAAACAGAACTCTTGAAGGTAAATAATAGGAGAAATGTTTCAACAACAAGTAATTTGACTGCAAAATACGTTTAACATATAGAAATAAGAAATATGTTACAGAAAGCCATATATAAGGAATTATAGTGTGAAACGTTTATAGTATTTAGAAAGTGCTTGGTTTTTTTGGTTATGAGAGTAATTTGAAAGATACAGGAAAAGACAAATATAAAAATCACCTGAGGTTTAGTTAAACTGAAATAAAAGTTAATTTTGGAGTAGCTCAGTCTTTTAATTAATCATACTTAAATAGACACCACCCAATTTAAAGACACACAGACATGTCTTCAAGACTAGATTTAATAGTATATATATATATATCAATTTGAATAGTAGTACTTTTGCTTGGTAAATGCTCAGTGATGTTTACTCTTAAGTATAGATGTGGGAGAGCAGTGGTATTTTTTTTGAAGATTTATTGCATATGTTATGATTCCATCCCAGGGCACAGTAAAATGATCAAATGACACCATCTTAGGAAGTGGAATGAATTTGATTAAATGGAGAAAGGGGACCTAGGTTAAACCAGTCATGGTGGCCGTGGTGGGAGCATTTCAGTTTGTCGCTGGCCTCTAACCAGGCTTCTGAGTGGGCTCAGGTTGCCTCTAACTCTCTGAGTGTATTGGGGGCACACCAACCCCATCCTAGCCACCGCCACCACTGAAATAAGGATTCCTGTTTTTGAAGAGGTGCAATATAGAAATTATTTCAGAAAGTGTATATATTTTAGTGAACAAAGCCAATACCATTTTTCTTCATGTTACTTCACAGGCCTTATTTCCCATGTGCTAAACATTTGCAGTAGGTCTTTATTATGACATCTGTGGCAGAAGAATTTAGAGAATCAAGGAGCTAGAAGCCTTGTGGGTTGATGAGTTTGTTGGAAACCCTGCACATGGTTGCTTCTTACTTGTGCCCCCTTGCCACTAAACACAACCATGGGAAATCCTGAAGAAGGTAAATTGTGCATTCATGTCCTTTGAAATGAACTCATCATGAGTTATTTTTGGAGGTCCGAAACTTTTCCATACTTTCTCCACACTTGGGCTCATTTTGAGGATCCCTGGTTTATTATGTATCTCATCACCCCCTAGCCCCCCATACACTTACTTTAAAGTATCCTTAAAATGACAGCCACTTGCCTTTTGAATTTCCAGAGGAGATTCAGTTTCCCTACTAGTGTTTCCATTGTGCATTGTAGGTTGCCCGAGAATGTCTGTTTCATCGAGAGAAAAGAGTGGGGATTGATCTTGTTCACGATGAAGTGGAAACAGAACTCTTGAAGGTAAATAATAGGAGAAATGTTTCAACAACAAGTAATTTGACTGCAAAATACGTTTAACATATAGAAATAAGAAATATGTTACAGAAAGCCATATATAAGGAATTATAGTGTGAAACGTTTATAGTATTTAGAAAGTGCTTGGTTTTTTTGGTTATGAGAGTAATTTGAAAGATACAGGAAAAGACAAATATAAAAATCACCTGAGGTTTAGTTAAACTGAAATAAAAGTTAATTTTGGAGTAGCTCAGTCTTTTAATTAATCATACTTAAATAGACACCACCCAATTTAAAGACACACAGACATGTCTTCAAGACTAGATTTAATAGTATATATATATATATCAATTTGAATAGTAGTACTTTTGCTTGGTAAATGCTCAGTGATGTTTACTCTTAAGTATAGATGTGGGAGAGCAGTGGTATTTTTTTTGAAGATTTAGTTTTTCTTAGAGCAATTTTAGATTCACAGCAAAATTGAGGGGAAGGTACAGAGGTTTCCCATACACATCAACATCCCGCCCTGGAGGGGGACACTTATTACAGTTGGCGAACCTACACTAACACATCATAGTCACCCAAAGCCCAGAGTTTTCCCTTAGGTCTCACTCTTGGTGTTGCAGATTCTATGGGTTTGGACACATGCTTGATGAAATGGATCCGTCTGTTAGGTATTGTACAGGGTATTTTCACTGCCCTAGGAATCCTTGGTGCTCTGCCTATTCACCCTGCTCTACTGTGTTTTATTCATTTCACAATTATATTAGGGTAAGTTCCCACATCATTAGAGAACCCTTTAATGATGTTAATGGCTACATAGTATTCCACAATGTGAAGGTGCTGTCATTTTTTAAAAAACCTCTCTTGAATTGTTAGGTTGTTTCCCTATCTCACTTTTTTTTTTGGTTTTGATTCTTAGTAACACTGCAGTGTACAAAAATATCATTATTGGCAACTGTATGTATTTCTGATTATTTCCTTAGACTATACTTCAAGCAATGTAATTGATGTGTCAGAGGGTATATTGGAAAGCTTTTGCTACATAGACAAATTGTCACCCAGAAGCTTATAGTTATATCTGCACTACTGGGCTGGTTCTCCCACTAGGCTCTCTTCCATCTCCCATCAGTTAAATATGAATTATTCTAAGTTCTCTGTCTTTCATTTTGTAGACTTGCTCCCATAAGATCTCTACCCCTCCTTAAGATTTCAGTCATTCTCAGCCTGGGGCCCTTCCTAATCTCTGTTTTTTGGGAAAGATGCTTTATTAAACATTAGTTCTACATTTCTAAGTGTCTGACAAACGTATCTGTGTTGGTAACTCATTTTCTTGTTCACATTCATGAAGCCCAAGAGTGAAATTTTCTTCTACCCTGCCTTTTTGGTACTGATGGTACCGATGGTACCAGTGGTACCTATGGCACTGATGGTACTGATGATACCGATGGCACCGATGGTACTGATGGCACTGATCAATCAAGGTCCTCCAGTCACCATGGCATCGCCTGCTGACCATCATCTCCTCAGTCTCTGTAATCAGTTTGCAGTTCCTATAAATTGTCCCTCTGATTTGCTTCTTATCTCTCTACTTGCCATTCTATTCTCCCTACCCCTGTTGGCCATCATCCTCTCCTCCTTCATCGCTGGCTAATGTGAAATCCCAAATGCCTTCCCTTGTCCCAGTTTCACTTGGATCTGGGTTTCCTATGATCAATTTATCTGTCTACTGAAAACCCTTCCTTGAGCCCTGAATTCCTACAGGAGAAAAGCCACTATAGACTCCCCCTGTCTGTTCTCACCCCTTCTCTTTTCCCACTCTAACTAGATGAATTTCTGCTGCAGAAAATCAGTTCCCCTTTCCTGGACCAACTTTGCAGGGTCCCACCTTTTTGCCTTTGTTTGACTCGTTCTTGGTGAGGAATGAATCCTTGGTAAGATTCATTTACCTTCCTTGATAAGAAGGTAAACATGATCAGCTTGTAACCTTGTCCTCAGTAATTTTTTCCTCACAAATCACCCAGGGTCCCTTTTAAGACTGCATTACATTTGTTTAGTGACCATTTATGTTAAGATGATAAACACAGTTTTTTTTTCTCTTTGCTTTCCTCTATTGCCTGATTCTCTAAAAGAAATATGAGTCAAAATAATAGACTCAGGAAAGCTTTGACCACTACAGAGAGGCTTGCAGTCTACTTTGTAGAAGCCACAGTCCCTAGTCCTGTACACATGTGATTTGGAATAAGACATCCTGAATGAAGTAGCTTTATAAGGATGGCTGCCTCCTTAGCTGTTTCTGCTTTTCCAGCCTCTGATGAATCTCTCAAATCTTAAAATAATCTGTCATCTACTTTGATGTTCTAAATAGGGAAGAATTTACCAGCAAATATGCCTGGGTCTCTTGCTCTTATTAATCCTGAGATGTTCTGTATGAAGTAAATTGTAAGTCAATTCTAACAGCTTTATTTCATTAGTTTGCCCACGAATGTCTCTTAGTATTCCCCAGGATTTTTTTTTCACCTTGGCTACCTTTAGTATGTTATTCTAGCTCTCACACCTGACTGCACCTTAGAATCACTTGGTGAAGGTTTTAAAAGTATCAATGACTGGGTCTTACACCCAGAGAGCCTGATTCAAATCTGGAATGGGGACTAGGTATTGATATTTAAAAATATTTCCCAGATAATTTTAATGAACAGCCAGAGTAAAGGACCATGCTTTAAAACTACAAATATTGTTGATAGAAACTAACAAAAATCTAAATAAATCGACGTGCCATGTTCATGTAACTTAAATAGTGTTGATGGCAATTCTTCCCAACATGATCCATAGAGTTCCCACAGTTCTTACCAGAATTTCAGCTGACTGCTTTCTAAAAATTGACAAGCTTATTTGAAAATTCACACGGAAATTGAAGGGATGCGGAATTGCAAAATAATATTAAAAAAGAAGAAAGTTGAGGGACCCACACTTCTCAATTTCAAAGCTACTACAAAGTTAAAATTTGTGGTACACTGTAGTATTGGCATAAGAATAGGCAAACAGACCAATGAGCTAGAGTCTGAGAATCCAGAAATAAACCCTCACACTTGTCATCAAGTGATCTTCAACAAAGGTGCTGAGACAATTCAATGGGAAAGGAATACTCTTTTCTTCAATGACTGAAATGGGACCCCTACCTCACATCACATTAAAAAAAATGAGTTAAGATGGATTAAAGAGTTAACTGTAAGAGTAAAACTATACAATTCTTCAAAGAAAACATAGACAAAAATATTTGTGACACTGGAGTAGGCAGTAGTTTTTAGAATCTGACATCAAAACCACAAAACACAATGTAAGGAAAAATAGATAAATTGGAGATCATCAAAATGAAAAGCTTTGAGGCTTCAAAGAACATCATTGGCCAAGTGAAAAGACAATCCACAGAATGGAAGAAAGTCTTCTTAAATCATATATCTGATAAGAGATTTGTACCTAGAATATATAAAGAATTCTTTAAAACTCAAAAAAGAAAAAACAAAACAAAACAAGAAGACAAATAACTCAATATGAATCAGGCAACATATCTGAATAGAGAGTTCTCCAAAGTGGATATACAAGTGGTCAATAAGCATATGAAAAAGTGCTTAACATCATTAGTCACCGGGGAAATGCAAATTAAACCACAATGAAATACCACTTCCCACCGGCTACGATG